GTCGACTTGGGAATAATAGCATTCCGTTGCTTGGTGCTGGGCCAGATCACCCTTTTTGATTTCCTCAGGACAGCCATGACAGGTGATCTTCCTCCGCTTGCAATTATTGCAGTGCGCTATGATTTCACTCGCGCACTGCAACATGATCGCAGCCATTGTGTGGGCATTTAACTAGAGCTTTTAGACAATTCTTTTCATGCCCTCTAGCATGTTCCAGTGTTCCTTTTCCACTCAAAATCCGGGCTGGAACAATTTATCTTTACACTTTTGGACAGCTTTTCTAGGTTTATGTTTATTTGCAAATGGTCGTAACGAATATTTCGCGGCAAATCGGGCAAGAAACTGCTGAAGGAGTGGCGTTATCTCCCAGAGATACGATTGACCTGAGTTACTTCATACAGTCTGACTGACCGCACGCCAGACTCGTAGGTTTCATCATCAATTTCCAGCTACAATATTTAGAAACAACGGTTATTTGAATCTGGATATACTGTTTGGCAGTATTAAATGTTTTGTCAGTTCATTTTCAAAACATCATTGATTTCGTTTTATTTCAAATGGAGAGCTTTTCTATGATTTTCTTCTTCTGGGATTTAATGAATGCAGTACAATTGTTTCACTGTCTATTTAAGCGTAAAAACTCGCGGAAAGGGGTCAGTAATGTACTGTCGCAATAGTGATTTTAAATCGCCGAGGTATTCACTGAGGTCGCCCAAAACTTCCCAACACCACTATTATTCCTGGAGTGAACTCTATTTCTTTGTAAAATAGCCCCCTGTTGCCAGTATTCCGCAACAGTCATATAAATGTTACTCCTGAGAAAACGACTGGCCAAAACCAGCTACGCAATTTTCTATTTTCGTCATGCTCAATTTTAGGTCCTCGGCCGCTCTGACTATTATGACCAGTAAAAAATGTATATATATTTTAACGTATTTCGAAAAACTAAAGTCATTTCATTTGCTTATGACCCAAGATGATTCACTGCCGCAAAGTTTTAGGGCAAACGTTTTTCCGACCCGAAACGGAGTAAAAGGCTTTTACAGAAAGTGCTACTTAATATTCAAACATGTTTCTAGATTCTCTTTCTACCAGGACTTTTAATACTTAGTCAGATCTCTCAGTAGAATCTCAGTAGTTTAGTTGTGTATAAAAGACGTCTTCACAGATCAATGAAAATAGATGAAATTGTGCCAGTGACTATTGAAAGCATGTGTGAACGCATTTATTAAATCGCTGTGATTTTATCCTTTATCATTCAGAAGAAAAGTATTTAATCAATTGTGCTCGAGAGAGACGACAAATCAAATTTCAAAATAGGAATTTTAGCCGTTGTCTTTTACGAATGAAGCGTAACATCTCTGTATTTCTAGAGTCTTTCGACGTAATATTTGAGAAGTTCCACCGCAAGGAGTCCCACAGGAATACGACACTCTTTATGTGGTGATTTGCACTGCAGCCATGTTGGTTGACGAGAACAACAAAAATCGTTTTCACAAGAATAGAGTTTTATTCCCAAAGAAGTTTGGCAATGTCGCATAAATGTGTCTGACCCTTTCCAAAATAGTTTTTCAGAACTCGGCTTTCTCTTCTTTACTGGGAATCACGTCATTGATAATTTGGTAATGGTAAGAATGTAGCCACTGTATTTTGCAAGTGACGCACAACATCTTTTTAATATTTAAAGGTATTTCTAGAGTCTTTTGACGTAATATGTAGCAAGTTCCACCGCAAGAAGTCCCACAGGAAGTACGACACTCTTTATATGGTGATTTGCACTTAAGCCATGTTGGTTGACAAGAATAACAAACGTCACTTTCACAAGAATAGAGTTTTATTCCCAAAGAAGTTTGGTAACGTCGCATAAATGTGTCTGACCCTTTCCGAAATAGTTATTTAGAACTCGGCTTTCACTTGTTTAATGTGAATCACGCCATTGATAATTTGGTAATGGTAAGAATGTAGCCACTGTCTTTTGCAAATGAGGCGTAACATCTCTTCGATATTCAAAGATATTTGTAGAGTCTTTTTGAGTTGCATTTTTAACTCCTTTTAGGTTTCTTAACAGTCTAATATAGTTTTTAGAAGACGTCTTCGCCGACCAATATAAATGCATGAAAGCATTTGTACAAGTAATCAAATTTACAGCATGCGTGCGAGCATTTAACAAAGTGATATAATTTTTATCATCAAGTCCTCATCAGAAACAAAAGTGTCTGTGTTAGAGGGAGGCGCCAAAAATCGAATCTCAAAATAAAAAAAGAATGAGGCCGTTGTCTTTTGTAATGACGTAAATCAATTTACTTTTAATTTACTTTGCAATGAAGCATAACATCTCTTTAGATTTTATTATTCTTTTACAGTGGGAGTTGCTATGTCTATCAATGCATAACAAAGTCGTCGCCGACACATTAAGAGCTATTTAGTAACTTGGAAGTTTGAAGATTAATGTTGTGAGAATGTATCACCACCCATGGGGGTTGTAGTAATGTCGCCTAGTACTGTATGGCTCCTTGTAACAGAAATTAACGGTAAAAGCTGAAATACTTTTCCCAAAATAGCTGGAGACATAGCCAATAAAAATACTTTAGAACTCGGCTTTCTCTTGCTGAATGTGAATCACGTGAATAGCACGGCTAATTTGACATTTTAAGAATAGCTTATTTTTGTTGAGGCGTACAGACAAAGGGAGTCACAATTCCCATTCAAGTGCAAATCCTGAATCCCGAAGCACCATAGATAAAAGAAAGAATTTTGGTAAATACTGGTATTGTTTCTGCGCCTCGTCCTGCAAACAACTCAGGATAGGTCCTTCAGTTCAAAGTTAATAACGGTAAGTAAGTGAATTGATCCAAGTTTAATATACTCATTTGATTTGATCGTATCTTATCGAAGAAGTTGAAAATGTTAGAATGCATTTCACACTCGGCTAAGTGTTCAAGAAATCATGTTAGTTTTCTAAACGCATGCATTTAAATTTCATTGTTGGAGCATAGAAAGATATATTCAGATGTCACAACACAATCGATGGCTTCAAACAAGGCTCAAGTAACGCGAATGTTTGGATGTTTTAAGGTTGAATGACATATATAGAACAATTAATGGGTATATTTGGATGTTGTTAAGGTGGCTCACATTACTACGTACTACTACTACTTAGAAGTGGCTCCGTCAACAGCAGTGTTGAGGGTTGTAGCTAAGGATGCCATGTTCGCCGATCCGAAGCGCAGTTTTAATAGAATACACAGCACGAAATGGTAAAAACAAAACCCTTTGGTAGAAGTTCGTACGCAACCTGTCCCCTAGAAGATTCGATTTGTCGTGTGAATCTAGACCGAACTTACAAAGTAGATAAATATAAGGTATTTTTCAACACTTGTGAAATCTGTTTTGTATGCACTTTAAACGAAAAGAGCGAAAAGAGACTGTTATGATTGACTGACTGTTATGATTGACTGACTGGTAATTGAAAATGTTCGTAAGCCAGAGCTGAAAGTATTAATCGGCTTTTCAATACTCTTTTTATTTTATTTTTTTTAAGAACTTCCTACCCACGATCCGTTTATTGATTTTGCTAACGGACAGTGGACCTGAAAGAACCATTACGTGGTCTCCAAGAAAATGACACTGACACGACAACACTGAACATGTCCACTTTCGTTTTCATTTAATTTGCCCGCTTATTAAAGCACGTCAATGACAGTGAAAATTCTGTGCCTGACAAAAAGGAAGTAGATGTTTATGGTGGATACCAACGGCCAAAAATTAATTTGCTATCCGAATATTGTCAACGAATGTTGTAATTAGTCCAACGCTAGCCTCGTTTAAAATCGCATCCTGGCAATAAACGTCAGGACTTTAGTGAGATACTGATAATTGGTCGAAGCGGAGGAGCATTCTCCATTTTCAAAACGGAAGAATTGAAAAATTGATATGTTCGTGGTGTACGCGACCTTCATTGCGTAGCAAGATTTGGTCACGATACCTAGTAAGNAAAGTTAATAACGGTAAGTAAGTGAATTGATCCAAGTTTAATATACTCATTTGATTTGATCGTATCTTATTGAAGAAGTTGAAAATGTTAGAGTGCATTTCACACTCGGCTAAGTGTTCAAGAAATCATGTTAGTTTTCTAAACGCATGCATTTAAATTTCATCGTTGGAGCATAGAAAGATATATTCAGATGTCACAACACAATCGATGGTTTCAAATAAGGCTCAAGTAACGCGAATGTTTGGATGTTTTAATGTTGAATGACATAGAACAATCCGTATATTTGGAGTTGTAAAGGTGGCTCACATTACTACGTACTACTACTACTTAGAAGTGGCTCCGTCAACAGCAGTGTCGACGGTTGTAGCTAAGGATGCCATGTTCGCCGATCCGAAGCGCAGTTTTAATAGGATACGTAGCACGAAATGGTAAAAAGTGAATCCTTTGGTAAACGTTTATACACGACCTGTTCCCTAAAAGATTGGATGTTTTTTTTTCTGAATTAAGACCGAACTTACAAAATAGATAAATGTAAGGTCTTTTTAAAACTTGTGAAATCTGTTTTGTGTGCACTTTGAACGAAAAGAGCGAAGAGAGACTGTTATGGTCGATTGATTGACTGTTAATTGAAAATGTTCCTCAGTAAGTTAGAGCTGAAATCATTAATCGGATTTTTCAATACTCTTATTAAAGCACGTCAATGACAGAGACAGTTTTGTGCCTGACACAAGGGAAATGAACGTTTATGGTGGATTCGAACGGCCGAAAACTAATTTGCTATCGGAAAATTGTGAACGAATACTGTAATTAGTCCAACGCTAGCCTCGTTTGAAATCGCATCCTGGCAATAAACGTCAGGACTTTAGTGGGATACTGATAGTTGGTCGAAGTGGAGGAGCACTCTCCATTTTCAAACCGGAAGAATTGAAAAATTGATATGTTCGTGGTGTACGCGACCTTCATTGCGTAGCAAGATTTGGTCACAATACCTAGTAAGTAGATTCAAACGTGAAGGTGGCTAAAATTGAAATCATTTTAACGAAATGAATTCCTTTAAACCATTAGAAATGACACGAAACAAACAAGCAAGTGGTGAATCTAGGGGAGGAGTCTGGGGGGACCTCTGTACCCTCCTCTCCCCCTCCCCCACCCTTAACGATGGAGCCTCAATCCGCTACTAAAGCGTGACTGTGAATATTTAATTTTGTTTTTACTTATCGGTACACCAGGGCTGTGAGTTCTTGAAAACAAAAGTTAACAATTCGCTGAAAGCTAGCAAATTTTCAATCTTACTCGGTAATCAAAACCTTAGTTTTTGCTCTTTTGAGTTTAATCAATATGGCTATGAGTAGACCGTTTGGACTTTCCTGGGTATACTAGAAAACTCGACTTCAAAGGCAAACGCCCCGAAAGTTTTCGTGATAGATAATCTGTTTATAGTGCCACAAGTTGTGCTTTTGATGTATACAAAACAAAGACTACGGTGTCGAAAATACCCTCACCAATAGAATGAGGAGAACATTACACAGTGGCGACAGACATGAATTTGAGCAGTCAATTTCCATTTTCATGACTACTTAGTTCAAACTAACGAATGGATTTTTTAACTCTGTTGTTTTCCTCTATTCTTTTTAACAGATTATGAAGACCATTTTCCATTTGGGCTGCCTGCTGGCTGCTCTTTTCGTGCCTTGCATGTCAGATATATACATGCACGTTCCACCTGGATCAAACAATCGAATAAACGGTGAGGGCGAAAACGTCCAAAATGCCAACAGACTGTTTGATTCGCAGGTAAGGTCTTCATTTCATTGATGCAATAACGAAATTCTCGGTTGTGATTGGTCTTCTGCGCGCCTATTTCTCACGTAATTGGCGCGCAGTCACGACTTTATATTTACAACTTCTGTCTTTGGATAGGACACCAATGTTGGGCGTACGTCATCAGCTGTACTGAAATGGGTTCTCTTTGCTTTTTCTTCCACTTTCAAACTGATAGAAAATTACTTAAAGAAATTTTCAA